AAGAGAAAAGCCTAAACAGAAAGAATACATTTTCTCAGAGTATTGTAGTTATCCCGCCCCCCGCAACCTTTTTTTTTTTTAATTGGAGTCTTCTTTTTCTGTTTTGTTTTATTCGTTTGTTTGCCTGTTATTTTAAATTTAATATTGAGGGGTTGAGTTGATGGCAGAGAATAGGGGGCACTTCCTAAGTAGAAGCATGCATATTTTAAAAATTATATTAACAATTCTTAATAATGAATTAAGCCCTGATCTATGCTTCACTTTATGCATGTGACAAATCCCATTGAGTTCACCTGGCCTACTCAACAGTAAAATAAAGCTACTAAATAAGCATTTTCAGACAAGGGTAAGGGTTAATGCCCAACATTTTTGTGATCAGGCATTATCAATGAGGTCATTATCCACATCTAGGCAATTCTCAAGAGGCAGAAAATCTCCAACAAATAACGCATTAAGTTTTAAGAAAATGTAAACTGTGAATGTTATGCTTAGGAAACATTTTGCAGAGCTGTTTACATATTCTAGTTTTACTAATATATGAAAAAGCAGAAGGATTTAAAAGTGTATTGATGAGTTCTAGTTCAAACATTGCATCTGTAGCATCATCAGCATCAGTAAACAACAAAAAGTCTATACTTAGTGTATTCCCCTTCAAGCCTTTTTCATTCAGGAATATCAAATATACTTTAAAAGTAACTAAAAACCCCCTTAGACAGCTAAGTGTTATCACACTTTTACAGACGAAGAACCTGAGCGATAGGGAGAATAATATAACAGTGCTGCTCCTATTTAAGTAAATGGCAAAATTTCCATTGACTTGTGTCATCAGAATCAGCTCCTACCTGATTCATTGTAAATAAAGGAAGCTTATGAAGGATCTAAGAACAGATTCTAGGATGTATATTATTTACAGAAGGAGCCTTTTCCTTTTCCCAGCTTTTGGCGTTAACTCGTTGTACTCTTAAATTTCACCTTCAGATTAAGGAAACAGTGATGGGTGGTACTCCAGTGACCAACTGGTACTTGAAAACCAGAATTTCCAAAATCTTGTTTGCACAACAAAGTTTTGCTGACAGAGCTATATACATTCAAATTCTGAACAGACTACCTCTTCCTTGATGAAGAAGCTATGCAAACAAAACCCTGATATGCTAAAAAAGGATTTTAGTCAGTTTACTTTGTGACATGTGGAGAGATGGTGTAACTACACTAGCAGAAAAATTCCTCCAGTACATGATGCATTTCCATTAGGAAATCAGCTGGCACAGATATGCTAGCACCACCATAGCAGCAAAACCACCTAAATAACATTTCTACAGACAATCAGGAAAGTGTTTGAAAGAGGGACGGTGTCAGGTTTCTAAATTTCCTTCACCTCCACCTTTGTGGTACCATGGAACCAAATGATGCACATTCATATAATCCTAAGAAGTAACCAGTTATTCATTATATTATAAAGAATTTATAATTCACTTCCCCTTTTTCAAATACTCTCCCAAATGTCTGCATAAAAGTTATTATATAGGGGCTTCTGCTGCTGTGGTGGTGCTAGCATACCTGTGCTAGCAGAGGTCCCTAATGGATATGCACCATGCACTGGTGAAGACGTTTTTCTGGTAGTGTAGCTACTCCATCTCTCCATGTGTCACATCCTAAACTGATGTGTGTGTGTGTGTGTGTGTGTGTGTGTGTGTGTGTGTGTGTGTGTGTGTACCACACACACACACACACACACAAACAATTAAATCAGTGACTGCTTTTAAAAACTAAAACCATTCTTCTTCATTCCTTGCCAATATTATCAAAAATAAAAACTTATCTGTGGAAATCTTAATTATAAAACTCTTGTCTAAGTGCACAGATTAATGTGGATTCAAATGTTATAACACAGCCTCACCTATTCAACAAATATATCTAAGCAAGTATAACAACTTTTGAATTGTGTACTAACCAGATGTAGATCCATGCATGTAGAATTGTGGTCACAAGCATTGATAATACAGTCATTGATGTCCTGGTCACACTTTGGCCCTGCATATCCAGGATTGCATAAACAATAGAAGCTGTCAACAACTGCAATTACAAACAAAGTATTTCAGCACTGTGATGCTCATTTAGGGTTTTAGCTATACATTTACAATAACATTTCTCAAGCAATGTTATAACCATCATAGACAATTCCTGAATGGTATTTTGGACTGACTTTAAAAAGTACAATGCTACATAAGTGTGGAAAAACATAGCCAACACTTTTGAAATCAGTTGTCTTGTAGTGTATATTATCTTATTTTTTTATATTTTGAAATTTAAGAAATCATCTAAATTATATGTTTTTTTTCAGAAATAGGCAAAGGGATAATATCCACCCATCATAAGCATGATGGGTAAGTCCATCTATGAGAATATTGGGTATTTTTACCTAAAAACTGAATTCAAGTAAATATATGAAGTGTTTTGGTTTTTGTTTTGTTTTAAGTGAGGACTACCTCACACTAAAACACTATGTATAGAAGTGCTCCATGGACATTTTATAGTGCTGTAATTTAGAGCACTTTTTATGGCACTCAAGAGTGACAGTGCTCTTAAACACGACAAAAGTGCAGTGTTTGATAAGGAGGCCTCTGATCCTCCCTGCACTTTCTACAGTAGGAGGCAGGGGCACTCCACAGCCTCCTGAGGCTACAACAAACTGCAGACACCAGCAGACCAGTAGAGAAGGCAGATCTCACCCACACTGACAGCTTGGCTCCAAGTATCTGGTCCCCAGCAATGCAGACTTTCAACGTGTGCGCGCGCACATGCCCCACACATGGGGCACCCAAGCATCTGGTCCCCCCCTCCCCAACCACACATGGCCTCAGGGTGTGTGTGTGTGTGTGTGTGTGTGTGTGCGCGCACATACATGTGTGCACATGCATGCATGTGTGTGCACGTATGCAAACCTTTCATCTGTGGCATGTCCCTTTCATCCTTCTTAGCGGGTAATGGGTTCCATGTCTGCCACAGGGCTGGGCAGCACCTGCTAAAGCCCATGGGATACTGGCAAAATTGTCAGAAACGTGACCAGTGTACAAAATTTATTTAAAGTGCTGTAGATGTAGTTTGCGAAAGTGCTGTAAAATACAGCACTTTAAACTTAATATCTCATTTAACAAGGGTTAACTTAAAGTGCTGTACCCATTTTTAAAGTGCTATAAAGCTGCGCACTTCTGTTATGTCACAACAATAAGGCACTTTAAATGGTGAAAAAAGCAACTTCTGTAAAACTTGCCGAAGCGTTGGAATTTCACTTCTGATGCAGTTTCATATTGCACTGTAATCTTCACAAGCTAATGTTCAGAATCCTTCTTCTTTTTCATCATTAATAATGTAAAGAGAGCAGTATCTTTGGAGTGCTACATCTATACAAGGAACCAGTGACAGCAGTAATTGCAGTTCTTACAGGCCTGGATTTATTATAACCTCAAATAGGTCCCTGGTTTCTTCATTATCTCTAAGCCTTACCATGTAATCTATGCTGTCACTCTGTCTCTGTACATGTAGCTGCTATTACTCTCATTAAATGCTTTGGGTCCTTTGTGGCAACAGCATTTTTCATCTGCTAGGAAATGTTTAGCTTTCTCTGACTCCTGGGTTTCCACAGTCATGATTTTGTACACAGGATGGTGGAACTGAGACCACTGAGGAGTACAAGTCAAGCCCAAAGGCATTACAAAAAGACAAGATAACCAGAGAAGAATTGGCACTTTGTTAGTATGAGAAACTTTACTTCCATTCTGTATCTCATCCGAGTTCATGTTTATAAATCTGACTGATCCAATATGCAGTAAATAAAACACAAATGAAAATAGGCTAGGAGTTAAATTAGTATGCTAAATAAAATGTGAAGTCAATTAGCTCACTCCCATATCTAAATACATGGGATGCATAAAACTTTTTAAAACTTAAAATTGTTTCATAAACTCAAAAAGAGAGAGAAAGTTTTATGCAATTATGTGTGTAGACATTCTCAATTAGATTCTCAACCGGTATAAATTTGCACAAATACTCTCAAGTCAGCAGAGCTGATTTATACCATCTGCAGATCTGGCTCAATATTATTATATTCCAGAAGTTTAATATAACACAGATACACACACTGCTCAGGTTTCTTGCGACTTGCACAAAATACAGATTTTACATAAGCTATATTTATAATCAAGACAAATCTAAATTATACATAAATCCATGCTGATGTGTTAACACGTTGTTTGGAAAGAAGTTTCTATTGCTTTTGAAAAGAAATAGATAATGATCATTGTTTGTTATTACTGATATTTAGTAAGTTGAAACTGTTAAAGAAGGAAATTAAGTCAATCTGTTGTATTCCAGTATTGAAATCTATGGTATTCATATGATTCAGCTAGGTAGTAGATATATAGATAACAGTACAAAGCAGAGTTCAGAAGTGGTGTGGACTGAACTGCTCCACTGGTCTTTATCTTTGTCCTCTATACAAGCAAGCAGTAAGAAGGATGGTGTCAGTGCTATTGAGCTTCGCTCATCAAAAGATCACTCTATTCTGAATCCAGTGAAGTAGGTTGTCATCTATGTGTACATACAGATCATAGAACCATAGAAATTTAGTGTTGGAAGGGACCTCAGGAGGTCATCCAGTCCAACCCTCTGCTCCCAACTAGATCATCCCAGCCAAAGTTTTGTCTAACCAGGTTTTGAAACCACTCAAGGATGGAGCTTCCACCACTTCTCTGGGTAATCTGTTCCAGTATTTTACTACCCTCCTAGTGAGAGTTTAGTTGCCACATTGATTGACACATTAGTTGTGACATCTAGATGGGCATTTTTGTTAGGCTGAACTAAATGTGGCATCTGTACCAATATTTAGGGGTTTAAAGTGGGCCATAAAGGGCAGGCCCGATCTAAATTAGTTCACACACACAGGTGAACCAACTCAGACTGGGAACAGGTAAGCCTGATCTATTGAATGTCTGCACACATTCAGTGCACAGCCCCAGGGCTGGGAAAGGTCAGCTGCTTACCCCAGCCCTGGAGTTATATTCTTCCTGCACTTCCCTCCCCCAACTCTGGTTTGGCTTTTTATCCCTTTGTCCCCTCAACCTCCAGACAGACAACCCTCCCTGTAGACCCTCTGATCTCACCACCCCTTT